AAAAATAGATAAATACTTATATAACAAAATATTTAATATTATATAATAACTAAATAATATTTAAAAATTTTCAATAACACAATTATTTAAATTTCTTTTGAAATAATAAAACTTTAAAATAGTTAAATTTTTTCATTATTTCATTAACTAAATATTTTAAATAAAAAAATATTAAAAACAACGAAATAGTTATATAACAAAATATTTAATATTATGTAATAACTTTCAAATAAATAAAATTTAAATAATTAAAAATTTTTAATATTTTATTGTATTTGTTTTGTAATTATTATATCTTTGTTATTTATTTGCTGTACTTTTGTTATAAATTTATTTTCAATAATTATGTATTTTCACTATAAATTATCAATAATTATTGAAAATTAAACTATTGTTATTTATTGGAGATTTAACTATTAATTTATCTGAAATTAGGAGTGCTCACAGGTTGGGTCGATTCGTTGTAGATTCTTTGGCCAACCAAACCAACTAGTCAGATTGGGGAGTTGGTCACCCAAAACCAGCCGACTATTAGTGAAAACTGGACAACTTGGGTTGCATCAGTTTGGGTCGGTTTTCAGTTTGGTTAGTCGTCCAAAATATTTAAACTTAAAAATTAAATTTAAATTTAAAAATTACAACTGTATTATTGAAAAAATAAATTCAAAAATTTTAAATTTACAATATAAAATATTTTGGACTAAGAAATATGAGAATTTTCCCACTTTGTCATATTACAAAAATTATATTTAAAATATAAAATATTAATGTATATCTATGGTCGGGTCAATTTAATTTTGGTTGGTTTACAGATGGTCAAACCAAAACTGATCCAAGGGAATTTATTGAACCAAAGCTGACTGGAAATACTAAAAAACTGACTAACTTGGGTCGAGTTGATGAACAACCCTAACTGAAATTAATTATTACTAATTTTGTATTGCAAAAAAAATATTAAAAGTAGTATATAAAATATAAATAATTATTAGTTATTTAAAAAGTTAAAATTTAAAACGATTGTCTACTCTTATGTATTTCTATTGTTTAACTTTCGCTTAACAAAGCTCGTCGCATGGGCCTACTTGGAGATCAATTAAGCCAACCAACCTTCAACTTTTGCCTTAGAATGGTTTCCTTAGGTTGTATTTGGTTTGAAGGAAATAGTAGGAAAAGGAAGGGAAAGGCAAGGAAACCTTTACAAACCTTGATAGGTTTTCCTGCCTCTCCCTTCCTTTCCCTACCTTTAAACCAAACATAGCCTTAGAACCATGGAGTAGGTCATTCTGTTTGTGTGCCCAAGGCTAGCTTTCTTCCAAAGCGTGATTTAGCTACTGCTCCAGCTCCTTTTACAAATTTCTTGCAAAGTTTTACCCCCCCCCCCCCACAAAAAAAAAAAGTGAAAATATAGCTAAAATATTTTAGGAAGAAGATATAAACCAAATTGAAAATTTTCAAAATCTTCATTAATTGGGTTGTTTTTGCTCTTGGTTGCAACAATGTTAAACAAAAGAACAGGGCATCTAAACGACGAGATTGCAATTAAAAGGTCAGTGATTCAACCATCACGTAAGCTCACGATGTTAACAAATAAAAGTAATTACATCTGGAAATAAAATTGACGAAAAAAGTAATTGCTAATAATCCATGGGAATAGCTTTAGTTTCATTGCACAACAGCCAATATGTGTTATGTTTTAGGGTAAATTGCATATTAGTACCCTAAACTTTAGGGCTAGTCTCACTTTGTTTTTTGAATTTTAAAATGTGCCACTATAGTATCTGAATTCCCGAAAACTATCAATTTAGTACCCGTCATTAGTAGTCCGCCAATTATCTGATGCACATGATGTCACATGCGATTTGTAACATTTCAAAATTCCAAACTTACCCTTTAGAATAAGAACTATTCATTGTTTTCTTTCTTGAGATCAAACCAGAGTAATGGTGAATAGAGTCCCAAATCCACCATTATTTATAGCCATTACCTGAAAAATGTTTCCCCCATTGAACTTTAATATGTTTTTTAGCATTGATCATTCTCAAATAAATAAACTTATTAAAAAACAAAAAAAAAACATACCCTATTCATTAATCACAAGGGCCATTAATAGTAGAAGAAACAAGAAAAAGAGAAAGACAAAATTGTTCTTGTTATCCATTGATTACCCATGGCAATAGTCTTTTCTACATATGAGATTGTAAAGAGATGAGTGGAAGCAACATCAAGAGGGACTTTATATGGGAGAGAAAGAAAAGCGTTAAGATAAAGTGAGTTCAATATGTTTGGTTGAAAATGAAAATTAGATTACACTTAAAGGGCATTTTTGTCCTGTACATGCCACCTAACATTAATTAACGATTTTGGACTAAATTGGCAATTTTCGAGAGTACAAGTACTATAGTGGCACATTTTGAAATTAGGGTACTGATATACAATTTAACCTATGTTTTATCACATCGTGATCTAAAGTTGTAGTTGTAATCTAGTGGTGTTAAGCTCTCTCTCTCTCTCTCTCTATCTATCTCTATCTCTTAGTGTTTCTTCATTGGATGCCTAATCTAATCTTGACAAGGATTCTATTTCTTGTTTAGAGTTATTTCCTTCTTAATTTGAAATTGACCAACCAGTTATAAGGAAACACTAATAGGGATAATATATTAGTTCAAATGAACTCATAGTTGAATTCGTGTGTATATTTTAGTAACTTCCCTTTTTTGGCTCAGTTTGGATACAAATACAATATATATATAGGGGCGGAGCATGTATGTATATATGTATGTATGTATGTATGTATTCACAAAATTCAAGGTTTTGCACTCTACATATTTGTATTTGTATTCCTTCCAAACTGAGTTTTAGGCTGTGTTTGGTTGCAGTGCAAATTTATTTGCACTAGTATAAATGCATGGGAGTGCAAATATAAAAAATGCAAATTCTTATTTAATTTTGTTTTGGATTTTATTTTATTCTGTTTCATGACTTAATTTACTTCATTTGTACTGCTATCAAACAAAATAAGCTAAAATTTGAAACAAAAATAGATCAAAAATTACACTGTCATAATTTTGCATCAATACAAATTTATTTGCATTGCAACCAAATACAGCATTAAGAAAAAAAGCAATACAAATGAAATTGCATCGGAAAGAAACTAGGTGTAGGCTTCATTGAAAAGCGATTTTACTGGGAGCTGCTACAAACAAGACATGGGAAGCAGGCTAGAAACACCGATCCGAAGCAAACATATCAGTGCTTCGTACTGTTTCCAGACTGACGTGTTTAGTTCTGAACTGTCGTCTAGCCTGATTTTCATTGGTTGTTTCTAGTGGATGTAGATGCAGATGCAGATGCTGTAGACCTTTTAAACCTAGCGCCACCCAAACAATAAGGCATACGTACGCTCGTTAAAAGACAAAACACCAACCAGTGATCCCATTGACCAAACTGTTCCCTGGTACATTGTCTCCTTTTAACGGACGCACCAATGTCCAACGAGAAAACAGTATATGAAAAATGAAAGTCATGTTTTGCCACCTTACATTTTGAAACAAATGTTGTCTTCAACCAAGTTGTAAGGATTAAAATATAGATATGATATTTGAATAATATCGATATAAAAGTTTTTTAGTAAAATTCTTTTTATGAGGGATAATTTGGTGTTCCCAAGCAAAACAGCTCAGTAAGAGCCTGCCGAGCTATATGAGTCCAAGGCTACATGCGAGGAAGAGCTCGCTAACTATGTCCAGCATCGCGCTACCAAAAGCACTGGCATTTCGACCGTTACAATGGCTTGCCGTACCACACGCCTCGACTTAATTGGGCAGACCGTAACCGCCGCGGGGATCTCGCAATTGATACATTAACGTGCCAGAAAATATGGAAACAGTTCCACGAAGAGCTCAGGCCCATTACCAAGGGGGCCCTAAGCTCTGATGCCTATAAAAGGCACCTATTTCCACTTGGAAAGGTACGTGTACTAAGTACTCTAAAGCTCTCTCAATCTCTCAGAAAACTCTCAAACACTTTCTGATTTAAGCATCGGAGTGTCCTCCCCGGGTAAAAGGCATCTAGGCACTCTCATTCTCTTCTCTTTGCAGTATACTTCAGTTCGACTATCCATCAGTTTGGCCCTTCACAATTCGGCCCAATCAAACAAACATCCAAGTTGAAAGTCCAAATCATTAGACACGTGGGAGCTTCCAGATCGCGTGACATCACCTTTAATACTTGTAAGTTAAAAAAATAAATAAGAGATATCTATCCTATTAATATACACTAATATATTCTAATCCTTGCTTTTTTACCTTGTAAGATCATCATGAGCTCCAACATTAATATTGTCTTCCTCAATGTTACACAGTTGGATGATTTTTGCTCATGAATTGATCTGTTCATATAGTAAAGGGACGGATATATGAGATTCTTTTTTAATTCCCACCTCTTATTAGATCAAACAATTGGAATTTTAAAAGGAACAACTATTTGGAAACTGGAACTACAGATCAATAATTGTGGTGTGGGGATGATTAACTCATAACTTGCCATATTGAATATGTAAAAGATAGACACTCCATTTGATCCAATATTTACCTTGAAACTTATTATAAGTATTTATTGTAGAAAGCAAATATGGGTATGGCCCATGTTTCAAATGGGCTCATTTTTCTCTCTGAAGTGACAAAGTAACAGACTAACAGGGCCCTAAACAATGTCGGTTAGCTCCTGAGTCCCGAGTCTTCTGACCCAAGTTCAATTTTGCAATGTTTCAGACGTTTTTCACATGAAGATCAAATGTCTTATCCTGCTTTACCCAGCTGGGTGGCGCTATTATTCTGCCCTATGATGAAGATCAATTGTCTTATCCTACAAAACTGGAAAGTAATTAAGAAGAACACCCCGCAGTAAAAGTGCATTAATTTTCACCCTTCCACCGTTTCACCACCACTACTAATAGAGGTGGAAACAAGAAGAAACTCTCATCTTGTTTCAGGCTGCTTTCATGAAGCTCTCCTTTCTCTTTATCGATTTTTAATTTGTAAGAGGAGATCACGGAGAATATTGGCATTTCGGATTTTCTGCTTCGTTACGTGGAGAATAAAACCAGAAAGGTTCGAGGGTTATCTTTGTTGGTGTTGCAGCAAGAATAAGTATCACTAGGACGAATTCATCTTGGTTTTGTCATCTCTTTCTCCTTTGTTTTTGTTTCTCTATGAGATATCTTTTGATACGGTTTTCTTATTACTTTCTATAAAAGGAAAGATTCCCAACAGATCAAGCTAATCTTTATTCTCCTCTCTCTCTCTCTCTCCCCCTCTCCCTCTGATGTCTGAATAAATGAAGAAGAAAATGAGTATTTGCTATTTATGGAGTATCTTCGTCCAATTAATGCCTTGAATCGTCTACAGTTATATATATCTCCATTCTCTCAGTATCCTGTTTCCGTTTTTAAATGTTCCTGTCTCCAGGAGAGAGATGTAGCCTAGTAGTTTACGTACTTATTACGTACCTTCGTTTCTTTGTACAGTTTATAGATTTCTTTTTTCTGGGTACGGTCCGATTTCTATAATCTTCCTTTTCTTTCTTTCAGATAAAGTAAGAAGAAGAAGATGACGATGCCTTTTCCAAGTTACTACGAATGGGAGGATAATAGTTCAAATCGGAATTGCTTTCTCTGGTCACTGGAGATGATGAACGATGGACGTCCGACTTCAGGTTCGAGAATAACGGCGGAGGCAAAAGCGGTGGCTGCATGTAAGAGTCACAGTGAAGCTGAGAGGAGACGCCGGGAGCGGATCAACGGTCACCTCGCCACCCTTCGTACTCTTCTTCCAAACACAACCAAGGTTAAGTCGCAGAAAATCCGGAGCTTGTAAGGGCATCAGTTGTTGATCTAATACTAATCGTGTGAGGTGTGCAGACGGACAAGGCAACGTTGCTAGCAGAGGTGGTCCGGCATGTGAAGGAGCTGAAGAAGCTTGCTGCCAACTTGGCAGCACAGGATGGAGAAGGATGCAACGGCAGCAGCAGAGAGTGGGCGTTCCCGGGTGAGACGGACGAGCTGACGTTGGGTTACTGCGACGAGGAATCGAAGACGATAAAAGCGTCGTTGTGCTGCGATGACCGACCGGACCTGCTGTCGGATCTGACGAAAGTGCTGAAGTCAGCCGGGGGGAGGGTAGTGAAGGCGGAGATGGCGACGTTGGGGGGTCGAACCAAAGGCGTGTTTGTGATAGAAAGGCGAAATGGGGGAGGTAGCGGAGATAACGAAGATTTGGAGATGCTGCGAAGGGCACTGAAGTCTGTTTTCGACAAGCCCGTTTTGCCTGCTTGGGGCGAGATATTGCCGGGAAATAAGCGGCCGCGTCTTTTCCGGCCAACTCATTACCAATAACTCTGACTTCTCAACCTTCTTTTTATTTTTATTTTTTTTAAAAAACCCTTCTTTTATGCACATACAGATTGACCTCAGAGCTCGGAATTGTAAAATGGTTTTCATTTTGTTACTCTTTTTTAGGGAATTGGAATATCTTTTTCTTCGTGGAAGAATTAGGTCATGGGTATTGATTTCTCAGGTAAGTTTTCAGTGGGAAAAAAAGTCACTTCCTCTCCTCTCCTTTCTCTATGAAAGAGGCAATACTCAAAGATGGAAATACAGGTCAATTTGGCAATAAATAAATAAATAAATATTATCGAAAATCCTTTAAGATTTTTTTAATGAAATTAAGGCTAAGTTTGAGAGTGTTTAAAAATAAGAACACTTATTGACTACAATTATTGACATTTGGGAAATAAGTCCGAAATAAGTGCTTATCGAATAAGTCTAAAATTCCAACTTTTTTTAAGTGCTTATATAATAAGCACTTATTCAAATACCCCTTTAGTATGGGTTAGCGACATTACCTCCTACACTTTTATTTGCACAAAAACCCCTTGGGCTGTATTTGGGTGTGATGTAAATCAAGAACCGATGTAAAGTTTACATTGATTCGCTTTTGTACGCATTTGGTAAAAATGTGTAATCATTATCAACGTAAAATTACACTCCGATTCAGTTTTGCGTGTGTTTGGATGGAGTGTAGTTTTATGTCAATGATAGATGCAAAATCTCATTACATTTAAAGTTTTGCATCGATAATCGATGTAAAAACTACATCGATTTTATCGATGTAAAACTTAAACAACTTTTTACATCAATTTCAAAATACAATGGTCATATATATTTAAGGTTCAGTGTAAATTACACCTTCCAAATGCAGCCTTGAATTTTCACTTTGAGATAGTGTTTTCAACCTATCGTTGATCTGACTGGTTGAATGGCCGCTCAAATCGACACCTGGTCAAGATTTCAAGTATGGTTTTAGTAAAACCCAGAGAATAGTCAAAACTATTGACTTGGTCAAAAAACCATCTAACCCTGATGATTGGACTATTGACCTGTTCGACCTAATGACTGGGTCACAGGTTGCACATTAAATGTGTACGCAAACTTCAGGAAGCCATAACTTTGCACTGCAATGTCTGACCGAGGTGTTTTTTTAGTTTGAGTAACTTTTCAAGATCTATGTGTCTCAAGGCTCCTTACCCCGCTATTTTCACTAAAAAACCCTTTTAGGGCCTCAAATCGAAATTTTTAATATTTTTTATAAATAAAAAATGAAAAATTAAATTAAAAACACAATTTAGACTCCAAGTCAGTTTTTTAAAACATTGCTTTGCGATAAATACCCCCTAATCGTTAAATCAAATGACAAAATGCACTAAATTACTAAAATAATTGCTTGAACTTTCCTTCCCTTTTCTCTTACATTTTCTCCAAATGAAACCAACTAAAATAACAACAATCATTTCACTAACATAGAAAAACAAGTTCTTTTAAATTCTTGTTTCATTTCATTGACAAGAATGTCTCTCTTTGTCTTAAAATATAACCACTCTTTTCTCCAATAAATCAAGAAAAAACGAACAAAAACTTAAATTTATATCTATTAGAAAGAAACCTTTATCATTTTATCTAAGTATTGAATTCAACCAGAAATCTACAAGGATATATCGGAGCAACTGAGAGGACTTCAAAATTATATTTAAAAAGCTAATCGAATCATAAGTCGTTAAATAAGGGTAGTTTGGAGATTTAAAATTTTGAATGCTAAATGAAAATATTTTTCAAAGTTAGCTAACAAAACTTTAACGGAGGGGGTATTTGTCATAAAGTAAAAGTTCAAGTTCTTTGTTGCAAATGAAAGTTCAAGGGGGTAGTTGTCTGTGACCCCATAGTACTAGGGGGTCTTTGTAATTTACCAAATAATATAATACTGAAGAAAAAAAAGTATAATATATATTATGCAACTCCCATACATGTATGTTGTCATTCATAAGGAGATGTTCTCATTACATAACTACAACATGTCATGAGGTTGGTGTGAGGAGCATTATCTGTGGAACAAATCCAAATTCATTGTTGAATATTAGTGTAAGAGCATTGCTATGTATGTTGCAACTTGCAAGTTGCAAGTATAACCATATATGGTATATAGTAATTGGGTTTAACTTTTATGACATGCAACGAGCCAAGCAAGTTTATATAATCACTTAGTAAAAAGGTAATATATATGATGCAGTAAAAGTATGGTACCTAAAAAATTAACACCAATCACAACCTCCAATGAATTTTGATGAATATTAAAAATCCATATACCTCTATAAAGGATTTTTTTGGTAAAAAAATGATTCATGAAACAAATATACAAATTACAACAAACAACGAAACAAACAACTTACAAAGACTACAAACTCCAAACAACACAAGCAAACACTAAGGCCAATTTTGCTTTGCTACTATAGTCCTCATTTGTTTAATTCTTGCTCATTCTGGGAAAATGAATAACATTAGAGTGTTTGCATGGTTACAAAAGTTTTTTCGTGGGCTACATTCCTTTCAGAATGAAAAATTAGCCCATAACACAAAAATTGAGGTAGCCTATAGCATAAAGAATCATCATGCCCCATCTTGCTCATTTCCATTCTTTAAAGAAACTCTATGTTGATGGTTATAAATCGTTGGCTTAGGTTTACAAGACTGCCACCATAGATGTTTATTAACGGATTGTCATGGAAACTTACACCGACAAACATTGATTGCTAGCCATCTGCTGGTAAACATCTATGTCAACGGTTTTGGAGACCTAGGCTGACAGTTTATGACCGTCAATACAAAGTTTTTTTAAATAATGAAAATGGGCAACATAGGGCACTTGTTAGTTTGAACAAAATTCATTTAGGAAAAAAGTGAGTCCATGGAAATATTCTTTCATTCTACCCACTTTTACCCATTCTTGTCCATTTTAGAATTTGATTTTGGGTAAGAATGAGAAAGAATGACGGTTAAACCAAACATGACCTAGTTTACCCAAATCCACAACTCAACAAAAAGAGATAATGCTTCTTCCTTTGGTGGAATGATGTCATGATTAAACATGCACTCCACGAGCAATTGCCAATCACTCTCAACAACCAACTTAGCACAATTAAAACTTGGCAAACTTTAAACCTTCAATCAAAGCTATCAACTTAGCTTGAAATGGAAAAATAGCGAGCCAAGGACCACAAATAGCAGCAATAAATTAAACCCCAATTGGAATTCCTTAGAACAACTACAAAGGAGCCAGCTCTCACTTTCTTGAAACATCCATCGAAATTTAGTTTCAATCATCCTAACTCTAAGGCCTTGTTCATTTTCAAGGAAGTGGGGGCGAGTATGTTGGTGGGTCTCATGGAAAAAAATAAATCCACATTTGTATTTCAGTATTAGTTGATTCCGCGAAAAAAGAATAATTCCCTAATGGCTCATTTACCTGAGCAAGTAATACTCTCCTAAGGCTTCAATAAATCACTTTCCCATTTTGTGCAGAATTGCTAATACATGATGGGGCAATTTTTTTCAATAGTATCATTTTTTTTTCGGATAAAACAGTCATTGTATAATTTTGCATAGAGAATAAAAGTAAACAGATAAGTCTACTTATTTGGGTAAGTATTTCCTATGAAACATTTTCCTAATGCATTTACTTGTATAAATATAACTTACCGAGATGCGAATGAGGCCTAAAGCTTTTGGCAATGGCAGAGTAGGACTAGTCTTGCTCAAAATCGAATTGGGAATTAAACGTTAAAAGTCATAAAAAAAAAAAGAACAGAAGATGTACCCACATCATTGCCATGAGCTTTATAATTATTTAAAGCTCAACCAAATTAACTCTTCATTGGATGGTTGAGGGTAGCAATTTTGAGAAAGGATTAACCAAACTCTATAGCTGTTTAGTGGGCTGTGAAATCAATGGTAAAATTCCACTCCAATAATAAAATACATGAAAAACACAATTAATGAACTATTCACTATGGGCCCTGTGTATATCATTGCTTCCGCAGCCCGCTAAATAGACATTATTTTCAGCTAATCCCAATTCAGCAATTTTTGACCCACCCATTTAAATTGCATGTGGAATATGGGGGTGAGTTATACTCATTAGGTGTTCTAAAAGTATCTTGTATCTTAATTAGTATTAGGAACTATTTAATCAATAATAACACATATGCCCCACTACGAATTTGGATTTGCTCCTCATGGTAAGCTGCAACTGTTCATTTGGAATATCTCTCATGAATGACAATATACAAGTATAGGAGATATTTCTGATGTGTAGTTGCAAGTACTGTGAGATTGGTGGGAGGCATGATTTATGAAGAGCAAATTTAGGGCCCGTTTGGCAAGTCTTTTTGAGAAGATCTTCTGATAGCTCTGACAGCCAAAAGATGTATTAAGCTTTTGACATATGATTTGAGCAATCTATAGACCGTTTGGTAAGTGTGGTTATTCATCGATCTGTTGGAAGACGATATCAGCCCAAAGACCATTTGGAATTGCTCGAGTATGCACATTATTGATCTGGGCTACTTATTGCATGTTTGACACTTGACCCATCATGGTTGAGTCACAGTGGCCCAAATGACAGTCGATCCGGGTCTTATGGGTCCCATCTATAATAACAATGTGTAAGCCCCACATATACTGAGTACTATCTTGCATTGATTATAAACACCATATAGTTCTCGTATGGCTTTAGCATGGGTGGGGTCCTCATGTCCTTAATGTGGGGTCCACAACAATTTGTGGGGCCTACTTGAATTAATTTTAATTGGTCCAACTAATAATATGATATTGTATCTCTATGTAGGTGTACCTTACATAAACATGTTCATAAGAATTTGCAATTGTATTGTTCAATGATCTACACTTTAGGTTTGTCCCGTGTATATAATTATCTGTTCACATGCGGCTGAAATATAATAATAGCAAAAAATGATTACACATTACTCATGTTTCATATTAAGTAATATTATTCACAAATATTGCTTTGTTGGTTTCGTACCTCACCACTTCCATAATTTTTTTTGGGTTTTTGCCATGAATAACCATAACTTCATTCCATAAGTACTCAATTAATTCATACCATCCAAACATTAAACAAATACAAACAAGTAACAACCAAGGCAGCATACATACAAGTTTAAAGAGAAAACAAGCAATCCAAGTATCAAATCAAAACCCACACAAGCTATGTAAATTGTCTCCTACTATTTCTTGGTCGATTATGATTAACATATAGGTTGTAGTGATCATCCATCTTGAACATGATTTCATCTCTAACTTGTTCCATCCGTATAGTGGCCTATGACCCAATGTCAATAGGAGTTTGTGCTACACCATGAAACATGCCTCCCTCTCCTTCAACGGGAACATCTGCTTGTAGGAATCCATTTCAATACGGATCCTGTATCCACGACATCCAGATGAAATTGTGTAGCACACAACAAGCAAACACAATCCTAATTTGCTTGTGAATGGGAAAGGGAGGCATCAACTTCAAAATTGGGAAACGTGCTTTCAAAACTCCAAAACGCCGCTCTATGGCATTCCTTAGTGAAGAATGCACATAATTGAAGTATTCTTTGACATTCCTTGGACGACCACCTCTCACTTGAAAGTCTCTCAGGCGGTATCTCTTTGATTGGTATGGAGATAGAAATCCAGGCATATTTGTGTAACATAAATCAACAACACGATACTTTCCTACACGAAATTGCAATCGTATTTATTAGTGTAATGATGATTCTAATATATCGTAATTATTTTAGTTTTATTGACCTTCTGGTGGTAGAGGAAACCTATTATTTGGGTTTTGAATTGTTTCCAAAAATACCCTTGAATCATGAGTAGCACCTTCTCATCTTGCTTCAATGAAAGTGAATAGCATGTCAAATGAACATGCACACATCACATTCTGGGTGGTAATTGACTTGCGTCCCCTAAATGGCACTTGTTCACTAGTTGGAAAACATTCATGGAAATGTGTACCATTTATAACACCAACACAATTCTGTAAAGAGAGGAAGAAATGCAAAAGTTTTGTTATGATGGTATATGGAAAAGTAAAACACCCCATAGTTAAAATGATTTACCTCAAACCATGGATAATACTTCGGATTATTGAGAATCTAGGGTGGAACAACTATCATATCACCGGGTCGCACAATTTCTTTGCCAAACTCTCAAATGGCCTTCAAAGCACTATTAAAGTTTCATGAAATTGTTTCACTAGAATGCTGAAAATGATCTGTAGTATCCCGGTTTGATTTGTTGTGCCCTATCACTTGCAGTAGAATCCCAACCTGCTCATTAGCTGATACATATAAATTGTCTTTCACTAACCCTCTCTGTCTCAACGAGGCCACTAATCTAAGAAACGTTGTTGGTGTCAGTCTGAACATATCCAAGCATTTAGTGCCACCACTGTAGATGACATTCTTTAAATATTCTGACCCTATTAGTATGTCATCATGGTAAGGTGTCCTAGGGATTGACATCTCTTCTTTCTCCAATTCTATCGCAATGAAGACATTTGTCATCATCCATTGCTCTTCATCATCAACTGCAACAATTAAAACTGCTTGCAGCATTGCCATCCTGTTTGGGTTGTCAACCATTTTGATCTAGAATATGAATAATGAACGACTATAAGATACCTATCGAGTTTAGATCATGATGTCAAATGACATATCTCATGATGGTGACCCATAAGCATACATTGGGATCTACATCATGACAATCAAATACATGTTTCCCGGAACCTACAATACCATACCTTTGATGGTGCATATGGGGAAAAAAACAGGCATAAAAATATACCCATCCATTCATTAATCATCAACCTGCCTCAAGCCCATAATCTTGTCTCAAACATGTAACACAGTCATACATATCTACCCAATGCATTCATTCACCATGTACCTATGTCAAGTGTAACTTTCAAGGAAGAAAACTGATGGTGCGCGATCTGGTCACTCTTACCTGGCAGCGGCTGCACTCCTAGCTGGCGATGGACGAGATACATGTGAGGAAGAAGAAGGATCCCCGGGGAGCTCTCCTGGCGGGAATAGTCCAATGCTTAAGTTAGTAGCAGGAAGAGAGTTGTTGAGCAAAAATGAAAGGGCTAGAGTGCCGATCACTCAAGTTACCTTTGCTCTTATATATTGATGTCCTGACAAATCAAGCATAACCGCCTCTGAGTCTCTACTGCAGCTGTTACTTGCCAGGGCTGAGCTGGTGGGCGCAGGTAATCGTTGTAGAGTACGGTCCTCCCAGACAAGGGACACCTCTCAGGGTTGGCAGGCACGACGCCGCCTGGCGAGAGACGTGGGCGTAGTCTCCAGATTTGGCAGGTACGGTTGTCAGGCAGGAGATCTTCCTGTGATATGCCGAGTTGCTCTGCTCCGAGCTACCCTGTGTCGAGGTGCTTCTACCCGAGGTGGCCTACTTGAGTTTGGTCGGGAGAGTTTATTCTTAGGAGGCTGCCGAGCTCAACCCGAAGTGCCTTGAGCTCGAGAGATTCTCGTCTGGCGAAAGTCTTAGCTCGGGGCGCTTCCTTCTTGGAAGAATCTTAGCTCAGGGTAATCGGAGTGTCATCTTATGTTGGCGGACTGCCACATTGGATCTTGGCGGACTGGTCGCGCTGAGTTGTCACTTATGTTGAGTCACATCCACGTGTCCCCTTATGATGAGGTCGGACCAAATCACCCTCCATAAAAAAATATACAATTAAGAGCAAATAAAATTGCATTCATCATACATCTCTCCCCAATCCATCCATTCACCATGTACCTATATACCTATAACAACAAATGAGAGCAACTAAACCTACATTCACCAACATCTACATCCATTCAACATGTAACTATTATAACCATAACAAAAAAAATGAGAGCAAAAATATATATAAACCTGTCTTCACAAGATGTATCTATCAAACCATCCATTTACCATAAAAAAAACAAACCATCAAGTCATATGTGTTTCAAGTTTAACCATCCAAACAATCATTTGCTCATTAAGAAAAAAAAACAAAACAAAACAAACAAACAAAAGCTACTAGTCAACTTTTTGAAAGTCAAACAACCACCATGTTCAACAATTTATGACACTCATCACCCAATTCTTCCTAAGAGTGGGGGGTATGTTCAGCAACCACTCTCTTGCATTTGGGTTCTTGAAAACCTCATATAGCTTGACATAATCATTATGGTTAAGTCCTTCAATGGTGTTCACCTCTTCTAGCACACAAGACATTGATGTTGGACTATCTACCCTTGTTTTCAATCCATTTATTGCCTCCACCAACCTATCAAACCTTTTATCAGTTGATGTACTCTGATAAGCAATTGCTTCACAAAACTCTGAAGGTCTAATCCTACGTGGAGTTTTGGTGCTTATAGTCGAAACCTGATCAATGTCACCATTGCTTGGTTCAACAACTCCTACTAATGGTTGTTGGATCTCATCAATTAGTGGATCAATTGAGATGTTTCCCTCATCTCGGGGTGGGGACTCTACGCCTCGTGCCAATGATGCTGAAAACCTTCCAATGGGTGTTGTTCCCCCAAATATGACCTCTAGGTTATTATACTCTGGGCAACCCACATTACGAAACCTTTTGGCCGTTGGGTTAGCCTATAAAAAAAGACATTGGGACACCAACCAGTTTATATGTAATGTATTGAATTTAAATAAAAAATCGCATATGTTTAGCAAATGTCGATAAATAGTTATCCCATGTCTCTAGTGAGGATACAACCATTTAATACTAAATGATTCCTTATTGAACTTCAGCCCAAATTGTGTGAAAAAGTTCTGCCTCACCTCTTTCCAAGCAACTAGTTTCAAACAACCTACTACCATCCCCACCTCCACTCTGGACTTGTTGTACAAGTAAATCTATGAAAACATTTTCTTGTGTAAGTGTCCAGTTTGCATTTGTAGTGGGGGCATTTTCAAATGATGTATTAGTTACACTAGTTGCCATCTAGTCGTCATCAAATAAACTTTTGATTATTGACACAATTTTGTAAAAATTTCCATAAGAATATCCAAGAGACGGTTGAGGCACGCATGGTATTGACATTCAATCACTTTTTTCCAATCAACTAATACAAAATAACAAGGTTTGATGGTTGTATGAGTCACCTGAAGTAGCTATTCCCTTCTGTAGTTTGTAAGTGGATAGGATTTATGATTTTGCAAGCAATAACAATGGTACTTTTATAGCTTCAGCAAATTGCTGGTACAATCCACATTAACCAATATGTGCAAACCATACACCGAATAACAAAGCAATAAAGAAACTCGTAGAATAAAACAAACGCATGCTTATTGCTAGTTTATATATAACTTTTGCATAGTCATTCATATATATGTCCATCCCTCTCTATACCTCTCAATCCTCTATGTCCCTCACTCTCTAACAGCCATACACTCTTTCTTATCTCACCCCCCGTATCCTTAATTATCCCTCATACTATTTCAATGTCTCTCTAACTCTTCTATCTCTTTCCCTATAGGTCAACCACATACCCCTCTCTCCCTAAATCTATCTCCACATCTCTCTCTCACTCTCTCCCTCCCCATCTCTCTCTATCACCCTCCCTCTTTATCTCTCACTGACTCTATCTCCTTCTCTCTCCCTCCCCGTCTCTCTTTATCTCCCTCCCTCTTTATCTCTCTCACTAAACTCTTTCCATCCATAAGCTACATTCCAACCACCATTCAATAATTTTATAACACAATAAAACTCTTTCTTATCTCACCCTCCCTCTTTATCTCTCTCTATCTCCCTCCCTCTTTATCTCTCTCACTAAACTCTCTCCATCCATAAGCTACATGCCAGCCACCATTCAGTCATGTTATAACACAATAAAACTCTTTCTTATCTCACTCTCCCTCTTTATCTCTCACCAACTCTCTCTACCTCCTTCCCTCTTTATCTCTCTCACTAACTCTCTCCATCCATAAGCTACATGCCAACCACATTCAGTCATGTTATAACACAATAACAATCATCATGATCCTAGCATCATAATAGATGTTTGGTGATGGTATGATTATAGTATCATAGCAGTCCTAGTATCAAAACTTCACTCATTGTATAATGCTTGGTAATAAAACTTTTTTTGGTGGCTTACTGTGATCTTCTATACCTTTGTAGTAGCTTGGTTATACTTTTCATGGCATTGTAGGTGGTACAGTTAAACCAAAGCTTGTAAGGTTAGTTTGTGCATGTATGTATATCTGAGAACTCATTGTATCTGATATATCTGAGAGCAGAACCTGGTGATGGCATACAAGTTGATGAGCCAATTTCTTTGTTCATTATTGGTAGTTTGTAGGTAAGGAAGGCTAGCTACCTATAGTGCCATTGATTTGAATCCAATTAATAGATG